CTGGGAGACATTGCAGAAGACAAGCCACATGGATGCAACCAGACCTCTGAAGCCAGAGAAGCCACAGAGAGACCCCTGCCAGCGCTGAGATGCTTACAACAGCACTGGACCCAAAGACTTTCTACCCACTGGCCTGTGATCGTCCTGCATTTGGTTTCATTGCATGTGTTTCGTGAGTCTGAAGAGGACTTTATAGATTGGTATTGGACATATGGGCTAGTATTAGACTTATGGATTTGGACTGTACTGGGTTGGGATGATTTCTTAATGTACAATTGCTCTTGCATATAAACCTCTTCCTTATACACATATGTGTGTCCATGGATTTGTTTCTCTAGTCTAACCAGACTAACACACCAGGCACCATCAGCTTTTTCACCACATTTGCTTATATACCCATTTGGTCTTCAGCTATTGTGTCAGGAAGGTGAGCATCAAAGAATGCATAGAAGGTGTTATTAGAACAAAGTGTTCTTGCCTTGAGGGAGTACTTGAGTAGAGGCCCAATGCCTGTTTGTTACCTTATTAATTAGCATATAAATATATGTACATAGTTCTATTTACCTATCGTTATACGTAAATATACTTATATATGTACTTGCCTCTATTTAGAGCTCTATAAATACCCCTTGCCTCTAGTTCTTTCCTCTATTTCCCTTTACTTTCCTCTTGTCCCACTATCACGTTCGGCCTTCATTCGAGTTTCAGTACTTCTTCTCATCTACATTGCCCTTGATCAAGCCCCAGCAGGCGTCCTAAGCCCTCCTCGCCATTGATTTTAGATCACTTGTTCCCTTGTCCCTGGGTTTGTTGACACCCCTCTTCCTTTCCCCCGCCTCCCCCCTCTCCTGTCAACATGACTCTTAATTAATTTTTAACTTCCTTTATTTTATGTAGGTTTGAAGGGTAAGGAATCTAGAGGGATTTCTTTTCTTTTCTTTTTGGATTTTAAAGAAACGTACTGTGTGCATTTTACTCAGCCCATCCCAAGAAAGGAAATCGACACCAGTGTCCTCTTACAGCCTCCACACAGGTGGTTGTCCTTCTCCTCGCCCACCCCCAGCCACCATGACTCTTCATGAGGCTTTGTGCTTCATTGCTTATGTATCTGTTCCTCCCGCTATGGACTTAGGTTGTTTCCATATTTTTGTTAGTGTGCATAGTGCTGAGAGACACATGGGTGCAGTGGGAGTGCATTGACAAATGGTTTCCTCCTATCAGCCATGTCTTCAGAATGTTCACCCCAGGTGGGAGCCTGATGACATCCAGAGTTCATGAGTTCTTCTTAGTTTCAACATCAAAGAGTGAAGTTACCATTGCTAACACTGTTTGATGTGGTCATCACAGTAGCAGTGTTTGGTCTTTGTAAATGGCCTCTGCTGGACACACATGTTGGAGTATCCTTGGGTGAAATAGTGTGATGTCTGGGATTTGCTTGATAATCACTCCAGGCTCTCATGGACACAGGTAGATGATGTTTTCTGAAAGCTCAAAAGTAAGATAATGCTAAGTCTGCCTTTAGTCCCAATTCTGATCTTGGGACCATTTTATTTATCTATTTTTTTAACCAACACCTTTTATCGACTTGTCAGCTAGTCCATAGTTCTAAGCCTTTCTCCACGTTACTTCTCAGAGGCTGAAAAAGCTCTTCCCACCTGGGGACTTCTTAGAAACGTTCTTGCTTTCTTGATGAAAGTAGGAGACATGCTTGGCACTCGTCTGTCTTCCTTCTTTCCTGCTTTCCATGTGGACACACTTTCCAGCTGGGGCTACCACCGCTATCTTGAAACCATGAGACAGCCGTCTTAAGTGAAGGTCAAAGGTGTAGAGACACTGATCACCAGCCCGTTGGTGAGATGCGCACACCCAGTGTTATCTGAGACCAGCCACACAGCTAACCTCTGTGAGCTGTTTCATGTTACTTTTGCCTGGTAGCCGAGTAGGTTCCCGGTATCGATATTGCCCATTAACATTGCAGAGCCTGGGCCTTTTGTTCTAGTCCGGGGAAAATGGCAAAGATACATCCTGTGGCCTGTAGCTTGCCATTCTCCCTGCCTTGGACACAGCACCATCTATAGATTTACATTATAAAGATGTATTCAAATGCTTCTCCGTGTATAAGATTTTTGTTTTTAGAATTCACAAATGCTCTTGTTCAGGATAAAGTCTTGGTTCATGAGCCCTCCCACCTTCCTGAGCTAGACTTCAATTTTAATGGATTCTCATTGTCCCTTTTGCTAGTTCCACTCTGTGTTAAACAGGGTGCTCTAGAGAAACAAAACCAGGACACTTATGATTTTAGATAGATAGATAGAGCATGAAGGAATATATCAGCCAATTAGTCCACACAGCAGCACAGAGGGCTCAGTTTAACTCACTTCTGTGGAACAGTTAATATACTAGAAGTCCTTCAAATCATGAGAGCTGTTGGGCCCAAGGTCAAGGAAGCAGACAGCTGAGTTTTCCCTAGGGCAATGCAGGCAGTCCAGCCACAGACAGGAAACAGTAGGGCAGGTCATCAACAGGCAGCAGCTCAGAAACTTAGTGAAGGAGGCTGAATGGGATATCGAACTCGAGCAATGTAAGTCAACAGGATCCAACAGCCTCAAGCTCAAGCAATGCATACACCAGCAGCGTGGTGAAGCAGGTCTCAAAGGAACCTCAAGCTCTAGTGACGTGATCCACCGGTTGGCTGTCCCACAGGTTGTGTAGCTCACAAGTTGAGGCAGAGAACTAGCTAAAGCTGCCACATGCTGGCCCAATCACCAGAGCAAGAGGGAGAGAGGCAGGGCTTCCTGAGCCATTTATCTCTTTGCCCTCCAATAAAACCATGACCTTAATCCCACATGTTCCTGTTGGCCAGTTTGGCACAATAAACCTACCTATCACACACTCCCATTAATTAAAAGCCTGTCACACCTTTATAATGTCTCAGTTAACAAAAATATGTTATGTAGCAGTCTACACAGAAAATTTACCCAGAGAATTTTTATTTAAATCAATTTTCCGGATCCAGTTCATGAAAGCCTTTAGCACTGACCCCAATGCCTTCTTCCATGGAGTTTCGCTTCTGCGGGTGCGTTCGCTCTGTTCTCCACAGTCGTATCAAGGAGACACTTCTGCTGCAGAAAAGAAAGTTTCAAAAAATAATGACCAATAATGACAAAAAGTCTATATGAGGCTAAAGAACATCCTTCAAATGAATACTGTTGCTTTGGTTGCCTCATGTTTACTTATTAAATCAATCACAACGAATTCCCCAAACCAAATATAATTGATAGCACGCAATAACTTTGCTTCAGATATTTGCATATATGACCTATAGACTCAAGGTGAACCTTGACATATGACTTTAAAATCAGAATCGAGTTTCCCATGGTACCAATGTTAGGGGGGCGAACAACAGATTGTATGTGAATGGATATATGGAATGGTGTAAGATGTGGTAAAATAATAATAAGAGTTCTTAAGGGGTAAGGTGGGGAAAGGAGAGGATAAAGGGGAGCTGATATTAAGGAGTTCAAGAAGAAAGAAAATGTTTAGAAACTGACTGAGGCAGCAATTGTGCAATGCCGCTTGATGCAATTGAACTATGGAATGTTTTGAGATCTCTAAGAGCTCCCAATAAAATGATATATAAATAAATAAAAGCAAGATTTATTCTTTAGACAGTGCAAGGTGGGACTGGAGGAATAAGAGCCATAATCATAAGTAATAAGAACTACATCAGAAATAATGTTATTGGCATGACCAGGCCACTGTAGGTCAAGTTTAATTTGGGGATAATGAGCTTCTGTTCTTGTGAGAACTGTAGTTCTCATCACAGAAAGGTAGAGGCATGGCTACATGCTGGACTGCTCACTGGAAGGTCACTGGTTCAAAGGGACCAGTTACTGCTTTGGGCAGGAAGACAGCTGTCCCAGGCAGTCTGCTTCGGGAAGGAAGACAGCGTTGGGAACCCTATAGGATTCTGCTCTGGGTCAGAATCCACTGACAGCAACAGGCTTTTGGTTCTGGGTATTTAGAAAGGATTATAGGGGACTGCCAGACCCTCCATCGCCTGTCCCTGGCCCTTCAAGTAGTGCTGCAGAGAAAATATACACAGTACTCTCTCGCTGCCTAACACATTTTAAAATAGAACATGATATACATTCTAAACAGCGCTCTGGGTAATAAAACTAATTTAACCTTTACAGAGGCCTTGGAAATAATTTTTAAAAGGACAAGAAAATAAAACTCACTCAGAATTTCAGCACCCACAGAGACTCAATTAAGCAACCTAAGTTTTTTATTGCGCGTTGGGCTGCGATCTGCATGGTCAGCAGTTCGAGACCACCGGCAGCTCCGCAGGAGAAAGACCGGGCTCTCTGCCCCAATCCACAGTGACAGGCTAGGGAACCCACAGGGAGCCGCCAGGAGTCAGCATCCACTCAGTGGTACTGAGTTCGGTTGTTTTTTTATGATACATTAAACTCGGATAATATTTCAGGTAATATTTTATAGCATGCATTTTAAAATATGTAATAAGCAATTAGTATAAGCATTTACCAGTAAACATTTGAAGACAAGGTTTTAAAAAGGAATCTGACACTTCAGATGACAAAGGTAGTGAAATCTATAGATTGTTTGGTTTGTTTTCAGTTTGATTAGCATCACGTGATGCTGGGATGGGTGTTGTTGATAACTTTCTGAGTTCAACCACCTGGTAGAATTATAGAGTCAAAGTATGAGGATCATTTTGTAGGTTCTCTCTAGAGCTGTGGGATCAGTTTATATTCCCACCAAACTGTATCCGTATCCACTGCCTTACCACATAAGTTACTGATGTTATTATTAAAAACAATGTTATTACTAAAAAATGAAGTCTTTGTCAGATTGATAGCTTCACCACAAATTTATTTTAATCTTTAAGTGTAATTGTAAGTGATTTGATTATTAGGTTAGATTTTTTTTTTATAGGTTCAAGGGCCATTTGTAGTTCAGCTGTGAATTCCTGTTTAAATACATTATGGATACATTATATGAACCCACAAATTCTATTTACCTTTAGAGAATCTTTTACCAGATCAGGACCTAAGATTTATTAAGAAAATGAAACTAGAGAATCTTGGGTATTTTAAGACAGTAATCTTTGAATGCATACAAGGTGTGTCACACCATGCAAATGTTCCACACACCAGATACTTTTAAATAAGACACACAGCATTTACTTAAATAGAAGTGAAACCAGACAGTGGATAGTAATCTTTGAATGCACGAGAGGTGTGTCACATGGTGTAAATGGTCAATAGACTAATACTTACAGTATTTACTTAAATAGGACTGAAACCAGAAAGTGGATATAAGGATATAAGAAGACTCACAGCAACCCTGCAGGGCAGAGTTGAGTGGCTCCTTAGAGTTTCTGAGACAGCAAATCTTATAGGAGAAGACATCTTCATCTTTCGCACTCAGAGCAGCTGGTGGGTTTTGAACCCCTTGATGTTTGGTTACCAGTAGCAGTCTAACACTTATCTTACAGCATCACCAGGGCTCCTTTGACACATGGCTAGTTCCACTGGATTCAACTCATCGCTCTTACCTTCCCTTTCAACCACGGTGTAAACGGTCTGCATTCCGGCTATGATGTGACCGTTCACGTGGCAATGAAGTAGCCAGGTTCCAACGTCCACTGGAAACATCTTCACGGTGCTAAGGATCCCAGGAGGAAGGTCCTTCACATCAGAGTGGTACAGTCCGGAATCCTCCACAAAGAAAGGAAACATCGTTACTGGTCACTTGTCTGCCTTACCATCTGCTGAACTCCCAAATCATACTCATGGATTTTATTCAATGACAACGGGAGAAGCATTGTGTGAGCTTGCACAGCAGCGAGCACGAGGGGCGCTCCCTGCCCTGCTCCCTTAAGTCCAATTGCGGGTCTGGAGAAGGAGGAGGTCCCAGGTCAGTCTCGTGTTCTCTCTAAGGACAGCCCGCAAGGTGAGCCTGATTCTAGAGTACCCCACCTCGTGTTCATTGTCGGTTGTCAGAGGCCTGGCCAGCACTGACTCCAAAGGCCTGCTGGATCTCAGAGAACAACACAAAGCCCAAAGGGTCTAGCTGGAGTATTTCTAAGGAGGGGGTGTTGGTGATGAAGCATGCTTCTTTCTTTCTTTTTTTCTAGAAATAAATCATTTGATCAGGGGCTCTTACAGCTCTTTTAACATTCCATACAACAGTTGTATTGAGCATATTTGTGTATATGTTGCCATCATCATTTTTCTAAACATTTACTTTTTATTTGAGCCCTGGGTATCAGCTCCTCTTTTTCCCCTCTCTCCTTCCCTCCCATCTTTGTAACCCCTTGATGAATTATAAATCATCATTTTTATATCTTACACCGACCGCTGTCTCCCTTCCCCCATGGTTTCTGTTGTTAGTCCCCCCGGGGAGCAGGGACTGTGTGGTTATGTGTCAATCATTGTGATCTGTTCCCCCTTCCTCCCCTCCTCTCCCACCTTCTCGCTACCCTCCTGGTATCACTACTCCCATTTCTGTTCCTGAGGGGTGCCTCTGACCTTTCTGGTCTAGCCAGAACTGGAAGGCAGGACTTGGGTCAAGAGAGTGGGGGCTGAGGAAGTCTCAAAGAACAGAGGACTAAGGATGCGTCTTTGTTAAGCTGGAGCTGTATCTAGAAAGTGCCTGGTGACAGGAAGGAGGAAGGCGAAGGAGCAGGAGAACGGGAGCCTCGGGAGACAGCCCTCGCAGGCAGCCCGGTCGACCCTCTGGCATGTGGGCTGTGGGCTGATGGCCTTTGTGGCTTAGCATTTCTCCTAAGAACAGAGTTCAGTGTTAGGAACGTGATCTTCAGAAACTACTTTGGGTTGGAAAGACGAAGCCCCAGAACCTGATGGGATACAGTAGGAGGGGAGTGATACAAAGCTCTGGTGGTACTGTACACTAAGTGGTGAGTTGCTAACCTAAAGGTTGGTGGTTCAAACTCACCAGTGGCTCTGCAGAAGAAAGATGAGGCTGTCTGTTTCTGTAATGTCTAAAGCTTCCAAAACTCTAGGGAACACTTTGTCCCTATCTAATAGGGCTGCTAGGGGCCGGAAACAAGTAGATGGCAGCGAGGTTTTGAGAAGAAGGAGCCTGAAATAATTTGAGGAGAGAGATCTCTGGGGAGGCCTCCTGAAGGAGAGTCAGAGACACAGGACCAGGGAGTGAGGGGGAAGCAGAAAAGCCAGAGAAGCACAGGGCTGGGCATGCGGGAGGGATAGTTAACTCCTACCACTCCTAATAGTTTGCACAGAATCGACTTTGACTCCTTGTGACTCCCCATGTGTCCAAGTGGAGTTATGGTCCCAGGGATTTTCAGTGGCTCTTTAAAAAAAAGATTACCAGGTCTTTCTTCTGAGGCCCTGAGTAAGCTTGAACCAGCCAGCTGTATGTGGCTGGTTGGGACACCTTGGGACTCCTAACTAAAGAGACATCCAATGTCAAGTGGCAAGTGCTTTCGCTTTGTAGTGCTGCAAAATCACAACCCACCAACCAATCTCAATCCCTACCGTTTCACTTAAAGTCTTTGATCCACACTAACCTCACGTTGTGGTTCTGAGAGGAATCAAAGGAAGTGAGAAGTGGCCCGTTTCTGGAACCACACCATATTCTAGAAGCATATTCTGGAACCACCATAGAGAGATGAGAAGACACCAGCTGCGGGAGATGCGAGGCAAGGGAGAGGAACAGAAGCAGGAGGTTGGAGTTGGGGTGATTCGAAGAGACTTCGGCCTCAAGACTCTGGGGCTATGGCCCGCAGACAGCGGAGACGGCTGCCATGATCCTGGCTGAGTGTTCAGTCGGGGCTCAAGCCCTTGTTCTTTAGGAGGGTTGGGAAATTACCATAGGGGGCCTTGGAGACAGATCCCAGGTGTCGGACCATGCTGAGAATGACAGGAACTGACAATGTCCAGGGCACCGGTCCTCGGGTCATAGAACCTGGAGTCCTGAAGCAGAGGACCGGCTTGTCGCAGGACCAAGCTCGTAACTGCAGAGTTACCGCCCTCAGGAATTCCAGGGAACCAATGCAGCAACTGTGTCCGTGTTGCCAGACTGCAATTCTCCCCTTGATGAGGGGGAGTAGGAGAGATCACCTGGAATGGACCAGGGTTGAGAACTGATAGCCAGGCCCTATTTCATAGATACAGTCACTCTCAAGGGAGGCGGTTTTGTGAAGTGGTTATGAGTCAGGGTTCTAGAGTGAGAGCGAGAGTTCACATCCTGCTTCTACCACTCGCTACTTGTGAAATGGTAGGGAAGTTCTTTGCCTTCTTAACCCCGAGTCTTATTTCCCTGCAAAATGGTGGCGAAAGGGTACCTGTTTCAGAGGGAAGTTGTGAGGATTTGGTGAGAAGCCCCAGACAAATTATCAAGTCCAGTGTCTGGCAGATAAGGCACACCGAGTACTGTTGGCCATGTGCTGTGTAACTTGGTACTTTGAAGTTCCACTTAAGCAGTTAAGCACTTGACCGTTGACTGTAAGAATGGCCACTTAGACCACTTGGGAAGCCCCTCGGAAGATGGGCTTGGTGACCTGCTTTGGAGAGGCCACAACATTGAAGACTCTCTGGAGCAGTCCTGCTCTGTACCCCTGGGGGACACCAGGAGTCAGAACTGACTCAAGGGCAATGAAGAGTAACACTATAATCACGTCTGCAGCTGTCGCTCTTGGAAGATGTCTTGGCAGGTTCTAGGCACATTAGAGGCACGATGACCATATTTCAGACAGCTCTTACATTACGACTTTTGAAGTCTTTAACATAAACCATTATGAACTTAATAAAAGGCCTACTTCCTAGGTTTTTGGTTGAAAAATATGATGAGATGTCTCTCTATATTAAAAGGGTCATTATTATTGGAGTTGAGTGATGGGTGATGGTGGTTGATTATATTATTCTCTCTACTTGGTATGAAGTTTGGTTCCCAGGCTGTCCAAAAAATAATGTCAAGAGGAACAGATGTGTTTATTAGAGAGTGGGAAAGGAATCAACACATCAATAATGGTTTGTACAAACCAAATCATGCACACCCATTTAATTAGCTTCTAAGCCTTTGTGTAGGAGAGAAGCTAGGAGCATAATTCATGCCAGGGGGGTGGATTAAATGTTTAGGTGTCAAATGCAAAGAATAGAACTTCATCCTTACTGACATGCAGGAATGTTTATATAAGGGATTGGGATGCGGAAATAAAGACGATGCTTGGCAAGTAAATGCATTTCACAAATTTGGAGATTTAGAGGGGGAGGGATAAACTGTTGAGTGCTTGTAGTAAATTAGAGAAATGACCAGGCAAAAGAGGTCAGTTAAAAGAAAATGGTCAGGTGTAAGGGAGCCTGGTGAAACAGCAGGGCAGCTCCTGGCTGCTCACCAGAAGGCCAGGCTCCAGGGGAGAACCCCGAGGCAGTCTGCTTCTGTAAAGGTGACTGCCTTAGAAGCCTTTTGGGCCATCTATGCCCTCCTCTAGCCTTGCTCTACCTGATCGAGAATTGACTTTGTAGCAAAGGGTTTGGGTTTGGTTTGATTTGGGCCTGAGAGATGGAGAAGAAACACTTTAGACCGAGAAGCTGTAAAAAAATCTGGAACCATGAACAAAATCTCTCTAGGACTAAACATTAAAGTAAACCTGTGGACAGGCTGAAATGCTTGTTAGGTGACCACCTGGATCCATTTGTTGAGTGGAAGTGGGAGAAATGCAGGAAAAAAGAGACAGGCTGAGTCTGGCCACTGACACCTGTGGACCTGGTTCGCAGGAGAAAACGAGAGTGGGTTGACTGGTCTGAAGTTCATGACCTAGCACAAGTGTGCTAGGCTTGTTGAGTATTTGTGATGAGCCCATGGTCTAAAAGTGAGGCAATCAAAGGGCACTCCGGTGAGGCTAAGTGAGGCAGCCCTCATTGAGTTGACCAGAAGCCGACCAGAAGAAGAGAAGGTATTTGAGCCTGTGAGCTGGTGAATGTTGCTGAAGATTTTATGGATGGCCTGTCCTGATTTGACTTTGCTTACGGATGCAGATTTCAGAAGGTTCCAACTGGAATAAAGATTCTTCACATCAAAGAATATGATTGTCTCCTCAGAGCAGTGAGTTGATCTACGAAGGCAGTATAGAAATTGGATACCCAAAATTGGGCAATAAAGGCATGAAGTGATTGGTTTGCAAACTTTAATAGGAGCTGGAATATAATCATAGGCTTAAGGCAGGGGAGTTATTTAGCTGCAATTGTTAGGCATAGCATATTTTTGTTTTATCACCTATAGAAAATTATGTTTAAATGAGGGTGGCACACATTGAATTATGTGCATTTTAGTTTTATCCTGTTAGGTACAGATATGATTTTATTATTGTTTGAAGGTGTATATGGCTAAAGAGTTATGTGAAAGTGTCAAATTGACAAGGGGTGGTCTGTGGTAGTTGCATAAACTGGTGTCAATTTGAGACTTGAGAGGACTAAGAGTGTAGGGGTGGGGTCTAGTCTGTCAATCAGGTCGCAGCCAATGAGGTCTCTGTGTTGGCATGGCCTTCTCCTGAGGATTCTGGGAATTCCTGTATTTCCTCTTTAAAGGCCGAGACCGTCTCTCTCTCTGCTCGGACTCCCTGCAAGACATCCCTGAGGAGAAGCCACATGGACCTAGCCTGATACAGCCCTGAGAGCTGGAGAAGCCACATGGAGACAGCTGCCAGCACTGAGATGCTTACAATGCCACTGGATTCACAAGACTTCCCACCCACTGGCCTGTGACCTTCCTGCATTCGGCATCATTGTGTGTGTTGAGTGAGTCTGAAGAAGACTTTGTAGATTGGTATCGGACCTATGGGCTAATATCTGACTTATGGACTTGATCTGGACTGGACTGGGATGTTTTCTCAATATTCAATTGCTCTTGTATATACCACCTCTTTCTTTCACATATACGAGTGTCTATGGATTTGTTTCTCTAGTCTACCTGGACTAACCCAACTAGGAATTCGTAAAAGAGAAAAAAGGATGGCAATAAGAAGAAGACAGTCTCCATGAAGCCATCTGACAACATAGACCTCACTTTGGTTTACAATGAGTCTCAAAGGAAGAATGAGTTCGAACCCACGTTGCAAATCTCAGTAGAGAAATTGATTCCAGCTAGAATTGCCCGTGCTGCTTTAAAAATGATTTAGGTGGAGAACTGGAGGTGAACAAAACGTTTGTTTGTTTGTTTGTTTGTTTTTAAATCAGATGATGCATGATTCCAATCACGTATTCTTTACAAGTGGAGGAAGATACTTTTGAAAGGAAGAGGAATGGTGCATATCATCTTAACCAGCCGATGGGATGTAGCCTCACTGGTATCAGGGTCTACTGGCATCGTAAGATTCTTGATGTGAGGCTTGGAAGGTATACACCATTGTCCATGTCACACGCTTGCCAGTGGTGCGAACTGTCAGACCAGGACAGAGCATGTGACATTGGGCAAAGCAGCTGACAGGGGCTCTTTAAAAACCAACCAACAAATGGAATCAACCGAATCGCTGAGAAGAGAATTTGTGATGTGATTGGGCATATCTGTGGGGAACTGTACGTTAGCATACATTATTATTATTATTATCAGTTATATTTCTCAAAGGACTTTTTGTTTTGACACAGATCTTTAGAGATACTAGTGAACATGGAAACATTAAGGATGGGCCTCTGGTCCTGTAATGGTTACTCGTTGGGCTGCAGTCTGCGTGGTCGGCAGTTCAAAGCCACCAGCAGCAGCTCTGCTGGAGAAAAACTGGGCTTTCTACTCCCAGAAACCATGACAGCCTCCGAAGCCCACAGGGGGTCACGAGGACTCAGCATGGACTGGAAGGAGAGAGTTGGTTTCTTTGGTGTTACCAAATGAAAAGGAAGTCATACCAGCGCAGATACATGTCCCCCAGAAGGGCTGCTAAATGACATTATTACAGAAAAAGATCAATATTGGGTTTGTTTTTAGAGCGATAAAAGGAAAAATATCTCTTTGGCTCACATATTGCTTGGAACAGTTGATGATCTAGGGACACAAATTAAGCAGGGGCTGTGTTGCCTGGTCATCAGTTATACTTTTTACTGTTTCTTGACTTACATCTCATCTCACAGACCATCGGCAGTAGCTTGGCTATATTTTTAAGTCATGATAATTTTGAGGCTGTGAGCATTCTGTTTTCCTTGGGTTAGAAAATGTCCTGACTCTTAGCATGCATATGCTTAGTATCTACAGATCAAGAGTCCGAATGCTTTGAATCTACTTACGATTGGATAAGAAAATTTACTTTAGAGAGGGAAAAAAATTGAGAAGATGCCTATGGGTGTTGAGGACATTTTTTTAAAGAGGGTTTGAAAAAAATTTTTTTAATTGGGATACAGTGAAACTAAACGAAGATTATAGGATTCTTATTTACATGTTGAGTGGCATCACATTTGCCTGAGAAATGTATTTCATTTGTTCACAAACATGTATTTTATGCTCATGGACTCTAAAGAGCTGAATGGGTAATTATTCATTTGATTCAATCGATTTCTGACTTGAACCTGCACTGTAGCTGGTTCGCTTCCCTTTCAGCAAGACTCTCTGGTCATTTCATCCCAGTAACTGGTTCACAGGGCACTGCAGCCATTAAAGGACATGTCAGAGGTTCTTACCGTGTATAAAAAGCTGTGGCCATGAAAATGAACCATGTGCAGGTCAATTTCACCTCCAATGCCAATCAAATACCAATTCACTTCATCTCCAACGTGGAATGTAAAACCTTGATTGTTTGCAAACATTCTTCCATTAATTGCTGTGGGGAACACAGTTTATGACATTTAACAAGGTGGCAATTCCACCCCCCGCCCAATATCTTACAGGCAATGTCATGAGTATGTTTACAGGTAATGAGGATTTTAAAGTGAGCCAGAGGAACTGGGAACATTTATGGCTGTTCCTCATTCCAGAGAGTTCTTGCGCAAGAAAATGCAGCACCAACTCTGTTCTGGCATAACCTGGTCAGACTTGACGAGTTTACAACTAAGGGCTTTTAAATTAGTAGTGGGGTATGGGGATTTAAAATCCCCATAGGTTTAAAGCACATCTAAAAATATCACTGGAGGTGAAGAAAGCTCATGGTGTCCGGCTATCAAATGCTACAGCATCTGGGGTCTTAAAGGCTTGAAGTTAAACACGTGGCCATCTGGCATGGAAGCAACAAGGCACACATGGAAGAAGCACACCAGCCTGTGCGATCATGAGGTGATGACGAGAAGAGGTGTCAGAAGTTCAGAAAAACATGCATCCAAACTGATGTGAAGGGGAGTGGAAGTAGTGGGGACCCAAAGTCCACAAGCAAGACAATTGAAGAGGTCCTCATAGTAGGGTCTCCTGGAACAGAGGATAAATCCAGGGTGCTGTGTGGCACTGATAAACCATGTAACTATCCTCTGGTTCTTTAAGGTTTTCTCCCCTTACTACTGTGTCCTTACATGACATAGTTCATTGGTCATGTTAGACATGTGGATATTCCTTTGTACATTTAAGATCGCTCAGTACATGGTGGTCAAGACAGATGGCCCCTCAGAAACAGTGACAGGAGTAAGGGTTCCCAGAGGGGATGGGAAGTGGGGTGAGGAAGGGGAAGATAGGTGAGTTGACAGCTTTGCTGATTGTAGAACCCCACCCAATGGGATTGAACAACAGAACTGGATGGGAAGAGAAGAGGTATGTTGGAATGAGTGCGATACGTCAATAAAATATTGTTTAAAAGATAAATAAGTAAAAATGAAATTAGAAACATCCTTGAAGACTTTGCTAGGAGTGAACTGCTTGGGCTGCTAACTGCAAGCTCAGCCATTTGAAACCACCAGCCGCTCCTCCCTGGCGAGGAAGGCAGCGCTTTCTACTCCTGAAAGGACTTGCAGGTTCAGCAGCTCCCAGAGGCGCTTCTGCTCTCATCTGCAGGGCCAGGGAGCTTGTTGTTGTTGTTACTTAATTTTAACTTCACAATCTCCCATTTGTTTACCTGGAAGGGCCATTTACCTGCCGTGTAGGCCTCTTGAGTCTCCTCTAGTCTCTTCTCAAAAGGAATAGAAACAACACATTTTAAAAATTAAAAATATACCATTTTACTTTTCTGGTTTGTGTAGGATCTCTTTAAATGCCTGAATACAACGTGACAAGTATACGATTTATAACTATCTGTGGAGGGGTGAGCTTTAAAGTTTCTGTCGATGGGGGTATACGAGAAAAAACTAGGAGGTCCTTTCCCAGAGGCAAACCCCTAGCCAAACTCCCTGCCAAGCAGTTGATCCTGACTGACAGTGACCCTGCAGGGGAGAGTAGCGCTTCCCCTGGGAGTTCCCGAGACCGCACATCCCCATTGGAGGAGGCAAGTCTCATCTTTCTCCCATAGAACAGCTGCTAGCTCAAACCGCTGACCTTGCAGTGAGCAGCTGACTGCATAACCCACCATGCCAACGTTACACTACAGACATGTGGCTGCAGGAGCTGTTGAACCACAGATTCTGACTTCCTAGATCTGTGGCGCCCGAGAGCCGGCTTTGTTAAGGGCCCCACAGATGCGGAGACGGCCCGTCCGTGGACTGTGTGTTAGACGACATGATTCAAGTGAACCGATAGCCAGGGCCGACATGCTGCTGGCCTGATCTGAGAATACACACCTGTTCCTGTCATGCCCGAGGTCAGTGCCCTCGGTGTCTCTGGCACAGAGGGTTTTAACAGAGGTGACTCTGGCCCCAGAAGACATTGCGTCATTCGTGGAAGCGTGTGGTTGCCACCACTTGCTGGGAGGTTGTTACTGGCATCCAGTGGGTTGGATCCAAGGATGCTGCTAAACACTGTACTATCCCAGCCATCCACAGCAAAGAGCTACCCCATGTCAGCGTGCCAAGGCTGAGAAAACACTGGTTTAGAACAAGTCCACATTCATAATGGAGGATTTGAGGTCTTTCATTCTGCTAGGTAGTTGGAGGCTGGTACAGGGGGAAGAGGTGTGATCGAAGAAAGCTAGCAGGACTTTTAACGCCAAAGCAGCGGTTCTCAGCCTTCCTAGTGCTGCGACCCTTTCATGCAGCTCTTCATGTGGTGGTGACTCCCGATCATAAAATTATTTTCGTTGCTACTTCATCACTGTAATTTTGCTACTGTTATGAATCGTCATGTAAATATCTGATATGCAAGATGTATTTTTATGGTTACAAAGCAAACATCATTAAAGCATAGTGATTCATCACAAAAAATATGTAATTATATATTGTGAAATATTTATTCCTAATGACAAATCAATGAACTTGTGTCTGGAAGCATGGTGCAGCGGGGTACTCTCCTCAGTGGGTGTATCTGCATGTGGGCAGACCCACCTGGAGACGGATAGAGGAGCGGTGTCTCGGTTCCTAAGACCATCGGAAATACATGTTTTCAAATGGCCTTAGGCGACCCCTGTGAAAGGGTCATTCGACCCCCAAAGGATCATGACCCACAGGTTGAGAACCGCTGCAGTAAAGAGAGTTGGAGATGGCTTCTGCACATGCCAGCCCAGCACAAAGGAAGGTTAAGGGCAGACTCATCAACAGAAGCGACCTGTGATGGTGGAGATAATGGAGGGGCCTGGGGAAGACTGAACAGAGGTCTGCGTCTGGGACAAGAGCATAGCATGAAGGCTGGGGTGCCGGGACGCACATACCTTAAAATAGGGGCACAGGATACTACAGAGCAGCAGCCAAGAGCTGAAGACCCTGAGGAAAAGCAGCCTATGGTGGGAGGTCTGCAGAATGTAAGGCTTTTTGACTAGCTAAGGCCCTTTAGATTTCTTTTCCAAAGTGTTCCCCTTGCATAAATTCACTCTCTTATTTCAAACCTTTTCTCTGGCTCTCATGTAAAGCATGTCCTTCAACTGAAATCTTTCTTGTGAGCAGTACAAGAACTGAGGAGCAGAGAGGCTTGAAACTCTGAGTCTCTTCCCGGTAACATTCCAAGGGGGGGTTAGCTTAGCTCATGGGCTTCAATTTTCCTGGAATGTCATTCCCGCCTTTCCTATTGGATAGATTCAGCTCAAGGCCTTCGGCCCTTCCTGAAAGTTTCCTTGACCGTCCACATCAGAAACTAAAGCCCAGCACTGCTTATCTCCCTGTCATAGGAAACTCCCAGGATGCCTTCCATTGGGGGAATGGACAAGTTTCACTGGAAGGAAGAGAGCCCAGATCTGATAGGCCAGGGTGGGGCTTTGTGGCCCCCACAATGCTTATTACAAGCTACAGGGAGAATGCATGTTGTCCTTGAGTTAATTTTAAATTAACATCCATTTCCTCATGGGAGGAAGCAACAAAGCAGAATAAAGAGCTTGAAGTTTATCGTATTTAAATGGATCTTGGTTAAAATAAAGAGCTTGAAGCTTATTGTATTTAAATGGGTCTTGGTTACTGCATGGCCCTGGGAGGCATTAGAGACTGCCAGCTGCTCTGAGTCGGAGGTCTATAACTTGTGGCCAGTTTCAATCTGTTCTGTTTCCCTGGAGCTCTGGGGATATAATGGGCTATGCGATGGGGTGCTAACCAATCACATCAGTAGCTGGAACCCACCAGCAGTTTCTCAGGAGCCAGATGAGACTGCTCCCATAAAAATGTATAGCCCCAGAAACCACATATCGAAGTTCTAATGAAGCAGAATTGATTCAATGGCGGTGCTTGGGTGGTAGCGGCTGGTTGCCTTGTGGTTCATGAGCTAAGTGTAGTTTCCAAAACCCTTTTCAAATGGTTGAAAACAGAAAGGAAAGCTATGGGAAATACACATTTTCGTGGCCGTCAGCGAAAGTTTATGGGGTCGTGGCCACATTCATGTGCTGGGCTGACGTATTGTCTCTGGCTGACAAACTCATCTTGTGGACGGCAGCTGTGGTCGGGCCCGGGATGGCCGTGGCAAAAGCCCGGTGCCCTGTCATCTTGCTCCTTACAGAAAACACTTGTCAACCCCCTGGTCTAGAGGATCGACACCACCGCTCTAAGGGACTGCAGTCTAGACACTGTGCGAGCTTGCTATACATGACCTCGTCAGCCCCGTTCCTGTGGACTGGCCTGATGAGTCATGACACAGCAGACGTTACCGTGCATTTTGTTGCTGAGTTCAAACACATCGTTCTCCTTCTCAATGTTGTCTGGGTCTGAAGCATACGTTTCGATATTCTCTTTGAAGTACCAGGATACGTTCTCATCAAAAACCATGAAGAGAAGAACACGGTGAAGCAGGCTGGGGTTGCTGTCCTTGCGACATATGACCAAGGTCCCTATCAAACCGCTGTTCAAATCCTGAGACGGCAGAGCAAGCTGATTAACTTATCATTGCCTTGTGAGTTGTTATTAGATCATAAGATTTGAGCTCACAGTTTAAAAAAAACCAAGTCAGACAATAAAAGAAACAGAATCGAGTTTTTGTTTTCGTGAGACCCCATCCAAGTTTTTAATGATTGCAATCCTAAGGCTGAAGAGTTAAAGAGCAAACCGTTTAGCATGTTAAATCTTTGATTTGAAGAAAAATTGTGTTCTGTCTCATTAGAGTTGATGTCTGCAGAGGGCAACAAACTCTCGAGTTTTAGACACATTCTGCAGTGAACTTAGCAGTATTCTAAAAATTACAATTACGAGGCCACCCTTTGATTTGCATTACAATTATCTGAAGAGACACACCAGCCCCCTAGCAGCCTGGGATTGCTTTCATCATTTGGGGGGGATGGGGGGCTCTCTCTTTGTTTAGCTGTGTGATCCAGGGAGTGCAGGGGCCACCATCAGTTCAGAGAGACAACTATAGGTTTTAATGCAAATGAACTTGGACATCAGAGGGGAGAGTTTTAAAAATACATCTATTGATTTCTCATTAATCATAGAATTTTGGAGCTCCTTGTTTTGTTTTCTGAAGCCAAAATCATATTCAGTGTAACAGAAGATGGGAAATTATACTCTAAGTAGACATAGTTTCCAAATCATAGTGGCTCTCGTGAAAATCTCATCAAATTAGCCATCATCATTTGATACTTTCTTTTGCTCTAAAAAGTGCAAACTGGTGGCGTATTAAAAGCTGAGTTGAATGTTGGCTACTTGATAGACTATTTAGCCAGAGCCCTGGTGGGGCAGGGGGCTGAGTGTTGGGCAGCCAAATGCAAGGTCAGCAGTTAGGGACCATCTGCAGCTCTGCAGGAGAAGCCTGCGGCTTTCCGCTCCTTTCAAGATTTACAGCCTCCCAACCCCCCGGGAGCAGTTCTCCTCTGTCCTATGGGACCATTACGAATTGGAATCAACTCTACAGGAGTGAGCTGGAAGATTCCGCACAAACAAACAAACTAAAACCAAGACAAACGTATCTTTCCAGGATTCATTGTAAGAGGGCACAAGATAAAAGCTAGTTTGATTTAAGGTGTACCTTAAGGTAGTCCACAGTTGAGAGATAAACCATAGGTATGCACTCAAAGTCCTTTGAGGTAGGACTGCTTCTTTCAGGAATCTTCCAGATATATGTCTGAATTTCTCCTACGGAAGCAAATACAGTGTGTTTCCAGGCAGTTTTTTAAATAAGGTATCTTGATGGAGGACCAGAGAACGAGAATGCACGAAGCCCACCAATCCCAGCTCAGTCCTAGCCTCTGCTCTGGTTTCACTGCTCTGCTAGCCTGGTCATCTCCTCAGCGTGCTTATATGGTCTGGGATGCAGTTCCCTTGGAGCTTGAAAAGGGGAGCTTCGGGATCTGGTGAGATGTTGCATCCTAAGCTTTCATTGTTGCCGTGTCTGGGCCACAGTGTGAGGTCAATGTCATGTCAGTGCTGGCTCCCTCGCTTTCTGCTTTGTCATCCCAGCCCAGGAAAGTTGAGAGTCATCCCATCTTCAGAATTCCTTAGAGGGTTGGTTGGCCAACAATTTATTATGTCTGCATCTTTACCCAACTCTGCCTTCTGTCCAGTCCTCCTCCTTACTCTCCCTCTCCAGAGTCACTGAGCCCAAAGACATGATCATAACGATCACACAAACCTCTGGCACACGAATCTTTACTTCAGAGCCTGCTGTGTGAACATTTAATTTCTTTTTTATTTTTTAATCACTTTATCAGGGTCTCATACAACTCTTATCTCAATCCACACAGACATCAACTGTGTAAAGCACTTTTGTACATTCATTGCCCTCATTATTCTCAAAACATTTCCTCTCCACTTAAGCCCCTGGCATCAGGTCCTCATTTTTCCCCTGCCTCCCTGCTCCTCTCTCCCTCATGAGCCCTTGATAATTTATAATTTATTATTTTGTCATATCTTGATCTGTCTGACTTCTCCCTTCACCCACTTTTCTGTTGTCCGTCCCCCAGGGAGGAGGTCACATGTAGATCCTTGTAATCGGTTCCCCCTTTCCAACCTACCCTCCCTCTGCTGTATGAACAATTTAATTAAAAGGCAACACTTTTCTTCTGAGCTGGTTATGGTGAATAATGAGTTGTACAGTGGTGAAGGCAACAGTGCTGATACATGAGGTTCATCGGCGCTCCTGAGCGATTCCACTCTCTTCAGTGCCCTCTCTCATCTTGCAGTCAATGGCAACCATAGCACTTGACTGGCATAGCTGGAGAGGAGCAGCTGGCAGTTGGACCAGAGCAGAAAGGCTAAGAGAGCTACCTTCGAGGAGAATTGATAGACCAAGGGAGGTGGTGCCTGAAGACCAAAGGAAGACTCGCTTCACAACTTTGCTCAGGGGGCCCCAAACTCGACTTGCAAAAAGGACTTCCCTTCTAAACTTCCTTCAGACCCTCTGTAGTCTATGGAACTTCCTCCTCTGCAGCTGCACGCTTACTTAAGAAAGAACATTTGCACCCTTGTGCTGCCCCGCAGCGTTGTTGTTGTCCTTGGGCGCTGTAGGGAATAGCTTTGACTTAAAGAGACTCTATGCATAACAGGACACAGCACTGTCCTGTCCTAACACTCATCCTGCTTGAGCGCACTGTTATCTGAAGGGGTCATCTTCCAGCACCATAGGAGCCTACCTTCCGCTGCCACTTGCAAGGTTCCCAGTGGCTAATCCTAATTTGGTGGCATTGTTGGGTAGGCATTAGACTGCTAGCTATAGGATCTACTGGTGGGGAGAGTGTTGAGGCTCTCTGCTCCCCTAAAGATTTACAGCCTTGGAACCCTATAGAGGATCACTATTAATTTGGAATCTACTTGATGGCAATGGGTAGCATCCTTCAGAAGCAGGTCATCTATTCCTTCCTCCTACTCTGTCCCTAGTCTGGAGGCTCCCCTGAAACCTGTTCCCTGGGAGAGACCCTGCTGGTATTTTAAATTCCAACGGCCTAGCGTCCAGCATCACAGCACCATGGGACCAACTGACCTAGGAGTGAGGACGAGAGCTTTGGGATCTTTCTTTCCCCACAGCAGTTACCTGGCTGTGTGGGGACAGCAGTGGAGTAGCTGGTTGTCACTCCATGAGAATGAATGGAGTACGGTCTTGAGGCTTTGTTTTTAAATACGATCTGGAGTGCAGAACCAGGGTGTACAATTATTAATGGACCTACGGAACACAAAACGGGGAAATGTACACAAAAACTTTTGGTTTGTTGTTCATTGTAAGTGGCGTCACCTGCCCTGTCAATTATTCACACATTCTTTACACAATGGCTTAATCTTACCCTCTTACTGAACATGCAGCCAAACGAAACACAAACCCATTTCACAAGTGGATCATTGTTGATTTATGAAACATGGGGTTTTCCCCAGGAAAAATTGAAATCATCTGGATTTTTTTTTTTAATAAGTGCGGTCGCTAGAAACTTTCCTTTGATAAGCAAACTCAAGAGGTGGGCGTAGAGCCGGAAAGAGTACAAGTTCATTCTGATCAGTACCTCAGGTCATCTGTTGGGTGTCCCAGCCAGGAAATGGCCTCTGATATTGTGGTAGTTACGTAATCTGGTGTCAATTTGAGGATGAAGAGGGTAGGGGTGGAGTCTAGCCTGCCAATCAGTATATAGCCAACGAGGCCTCTGTGTGGG